GAATGGGGATGGGAACGGGAACGGGAATGGAAATGGTAGTGGTAGTGGTAACGGAAATGGGAATGATAAGGTTAAGGGTACAGGTAAATGTAGCGGTAAAGGTAATGGTAATGGTACTGGTACTGGTAATGGTAATGGGAATGGGAATGGGAATGGTAGTGGCAATGGTAATGGTGGTGGCGAATGGCAATGGCAATAGCAATGCGAATGGTAATGGTAATGACAGAGGTAATGGTAATGGTACTGGTAATGGTAACGGTAATGATAGTGGTAACGGGGTAGCGACTGGCAATGGCAATGGTAATGGCAATGACAATGGCAACGGTAATGGCAATGGCAATGGCAATGGCAATGGCCATGAAAATGGCCATTACAATGGCAATGGTACTGGTACTGGTAATGGTAACGTGAATGGGAATGTGAATGGGAATGTGAATGGGAATGTGAATGGGAATGGGAACGGGGATGGAAATGACAATGGTAGTGGTAACGGAAATGGGAATGGTAAGGGTAAAGGTAAAGGTAGAGGTAAAGGTAATATCATGTTTATTGTTAATATGCATCCTGATGTTTGTGACTCGTATGTTTCTTATGTTTAGAATTCGTATTCGTAGTACTCGACCGCGTCGCCTGATTAGTGTCGTTAATAATAACAGTGTGGTTCGTAGTCGTCTGTTTAATGGTCGTACTCTTCTTATCATCAGTATGCTTAGTATTTTCTGGTTTCTTGATCATCGTCTCTTCTGTTGTTATGCATGGTGACCCCCTTCCTGTTCCTCCTCCTCGTCCTCCCTCCTCCTCCGCCTCCTCCTCCTCCTGCTCCTCCTCCTCCTCCTCATCCATTCCTCTTCCCTGTACATAACTTCTCCCTGTCGCACCCCAAAACCAGTTTTACGGCGGATCGGACGTTTCGCCTGAGACTGCCTTACCATGTATGACCCTGAGGCTTTAAACATGACGACCGTTTCACACATGGAGGGCGGGTCGTTTTCAAAATGGGGCTCTCGCCTGAGCGCCGCCCACATTCACTGTAAACATGTGCAAGAGTTTCACGGATTGAAGGCGGGTCGTTTCAACATGTGGTCCTGCACATTCACTTTAACAATATGCAAGAGCTCAACGGATTGAGGGCAGGTGGTTGTTTTAAGGTGACTCTCGCCGAAACGCCGCGCGCATTAGTTCTAAAACTGTGCAATGTTTCACGGATTGAAGGCAGGTCGGTTTCAAAAGGTGGCTCTCGCCTTAGCGCAGCGCACATTCGTTTGACAAGTAGCAAGGGTGGCACGGATTGAGGGCGGGTGGTTTTCAAGATGTGAGTATCGCCTTAGCGCCGCGCACATTCGGTGTAACATTTGGCAAGAGCTTCACGGATTGAGCGAGGCTCTTTCTCAAAATGTTGCTCTCGCCTTAGCGCAGCGCACGTTCTGTGTAAACATTAGCAAGAGTTGCACGGGTGCCCTTGATCAGCCTACCAACAATGGTGTTGTTGAAAGGGTTCAGGATTATGAAGGCGCCACAGTTACGTTGACTCGCCGTGTTGAGATCTCAGAATTGGTGCTCTGGCACGAATCAAGGTCGTCAAGATGCAGCAATCAGGTTGATCCGGGGCGTTGGAATCCCGAGAACAGTGTTTTGGCATGCTTCAGGGTCTTCAAACGGTTGTCCTCCAACGAGGTAACTCCCCCAGTGGAAACGAATCGTTGTAGGGTCCTGTGAAGAACGATCTTGGGAGGGTTACTACAGCATCGTTGATGACTCTTGGCCGCTGAGCCTTGAGTCCGTGCGCTGTGCCTTGCACCACATGAAGGCCAAAGCAGGACGCGGGGTCGACGAACTCACGCCCCTCGCCATGGAACGGCTTCCCAGGGGAGGGCTCCAGGAGCTCACTGGTTTGTTTCAGGCCTGTGAGGCTTGCCTGACGTGGCGACTCCTGGTTTGTGGTCGCCTTCTGGGGAAGAGAGACGGGGGGGACCGTGTCATTGGCCTCATGTCCATGGTTTCCAGGACCTGGTCTCTCGCCCGCGAGGAAGTTACTCGTGTCTGGTCACAGGACACCCAGCCCGACTGGGACGCGGCGGTAGCGGGCAACTCCGCGAAGCTTACTGTACGCGCCCTTCGTGACAAAGGGCCGTCACGCCTTGGTATTTCGTTTGGCGAGGGCCTCCTTGACATTAAAGGATTGTATGACACTATGGATTGGGCTGCCCTCATGAGATCGGCTCTCTGGGGTCCCCACCGGCTGTGTTGGCGTTAGAACTCCAGATGGGGTGTAATCCTCGCGTTCGTTCTCAGATGGAATCGTGTTCGTTTGCTTTCCAACCGTCGCAGAGCATCGTCCAGGGTCGTCGTAGTGGTACCATGTTTGGGAGGTGTCTTGTGTACTTTATCATTCGGAAGCTGACGGTGGTTCACCCGTGCATGGCGTGTCGTATCTGGGTCGACGATTTGACTGAGCATACGACAGGTACTGGGGCCTTGGTCAGAGCTAGGTTGTATCAGGGGGCCCTCGCCACGTGTCGCACGCTGGCTGAGCACGGTATCCGTGTGGCGAGTAAGAGTGGTATCTTGTGCTCGCATGCCGCCGATGGGCGGCATACTGTTAGACGCCTCAAGCGGAAGGGCTTTGAGGTTCAGACGGGGCTGCAAGCTACTTATCTTGGGATCGATCTTGGGGCTGGACGGCTCGCTAGAGCCACCAGAGCCAAAAGGGTCCCCTAAGCCAAGAGCATGAGCACCAAGATCAAGGGGTATGCTCGGGCCTCCAAGAAGCATGTGAGCATGGAGCCTCTTGAGTGTGCGGCCTCACAGGCCGCTGGTACGCACGGGCACCAAGTCACGGGAGCAGTTGGCACTTTTCGTTTGCAGTGTAGGCGGCGTCTTGGGCATGTCTTATCTGAAGCCAAGCGAGGGCGGTGCCTTACTACCCGCCGCGATCTCCGTGCTGACGGGCACGACCCTGCCTATCGATTACCGCGCGAGGGTCCTCGCCGTTGGCTCCTGACGTGGTTGCAGGAGCCCAGTATTCGTGCTCCAGTTCGTGCGGCTTGGCCTGGCGCCGTCCAGCAGCTGCGCGCTTTGGCACCGAGACAGGCATCACAGCACGTGCGTGGGCCTATCTCCATGATCATTGCTTACTTGCTCGAGTTCGGGAGGAACCCGAAGTCGCCCACGCATTGGGACATGCCCACCGCTGATGAAGGGTCTGGTGTCTCTTGGGTTTTCCCCGACGACGAGATTACCGAACCTGAGGATATCAGTGGGTTGATAGTCGACTTCGAGTGGACTGCTTTGAAAAAGCTCTGGGCCGACGCCAGTGACCAGGTTTATGGTGAGGGTCTCCAGCAGGGGGCTGATTTTACTTCTCTCAGGCAGACCCTTCGCCTTTTGGAGAGGATTCCAGGCGGTAGTCGTCTCCATCGCGGTTGGTGGCACGTGGCCGATGTCTCGTATTCGTGAGGAGGCCCGCGCTACCTCTATCAACCTATGTCCAACGTGCAGCCTTGAACCTGAACCTCCCCTCCATAGGCATTGGTCGTGTACCAAAAAACAACGGGCATAAACGTTACACCGGCACCCAGCGTCTCCTCCCTCGGGCCCTGACGGGCGAGGACAGCGAACCCTGTTTTTGGTTTCGAGGTCTCTTCCCGAGCGCCTGGAGCCGTGTGCCTGCAGCAGCGTGCGAGGAGGCCTGGCAGGTCTACACGGACAGCCAGACGGACTCCATCGAGCCAGTTCTAGGACTAGGGGTGTTCGACGATCACATGTTTGTCTTCGGCGACTCCAGTGGTGGGGCTGACTCTTCTGATGGTCGTCTTCGTCGGTGTGGAGTCTCGGCGGTTGTTCTTGGGAGTTATGGACCTATTACTGTGAAGGCGGCGGTGTACGGTGGGCTCCCAAGGGCCCCTCAGACGGTTCCGCGTGGTAAAGTCTGGGGGCTCCTTCTGGCCATTCGTCACACTCGTGGGCCTATGGTGTATACAACCGATACCAGTGGGGTTTCGGATGGGTGGTGTCAAGGGTTCCATGTGGAGCCCCGTGGATCCAACAAATCAGCCTGGAATTTGATCCGTGATGAACTTCGGTCTCAGTGTCGCGACCCGTCGCAGACTGTGGTGCTACAAGTCCCAGCACATGTGGAGGCCGAGGGTTTCTTCGATTGCGGTATCAGTCCATTTGTTGTTGCTCGGCAACTTAGTTGCCGACCATCTAGCAGGGGAAGGAGCCGAACTCATTCGAGTAGATCCAGTCACGCGAGGAAGGGTGATGAGGGCAGAGTTTGATGCTTCGCTCGTCAGGAAACGTCTGCTTCGGTCGACGCTCGAGGCGATGGCGGCGAGGACGACGACCGCCAGTGGAGTGTCTTCCAGGCCGCCTCCCTCTCCTTCCCCCTCCTCTCTCGCCTTCTTCCAGTCTGGTCAACAGTTCAGTGCTTGTGGCAGGAGGTGTGTTAGATGTAGAGGGCACGCGTCTTTGGACACTCTCAGCGAGTGAAGGTCCCATCACTGTTTCTCTTTAGAGCACGTCGATTCCCATGTCTCTCGTCTGCCGAGGGGGTTTAGAGTACACCTGGGGGGCGGTTGGATCCACCCTACTCACTCTGTCCTCTACTCCTCCCTCTCCGACACGTGGATATGTGGTCCTGTGGTTTCTACGGACGGGAGCAGTTGAGACAACCGCTCGCCCAGCCGTGCACCTCCGAGATGAGTGGCTCTCGGAGGGGGTATCTCGACAAGTTCGTGGCTGGTAAGCCGCCCGAGCCGACCAGGGCTCAGGCGCGCAGCAAGGGTGCTGGGCCTGCCGCCTAGCCAGTCAGTCGACTTTCGCATCGTGAAGGGGCCAATTCCAATTCCAATTCCCCCTTCTCCTCCTCCACCTCCTCCTCCTCCCCCCTCCTCCTTCCAGCTCCCTCCGCATCCTCCTTTTCCTCCTCCGCGGCCTCCTCATCCTGCCTCCCGCCCTCCTCGCCCTCGAGGCCCCCCTCCCTGGCGGGAGGGAGGCACCGATCAGGATGTTCCCCGGGTGCGGGTCCGTGCTGAAGAGGCCGTCGACGAAGAGCTGGTGGCCCAGGACCTCTGCAGCAGCGCCGATCCCTTGCCATCACTCGGACGTCCACTCCCCGTGCATCTTTCGGCTTCGTGCGTGGGGGGGATGCTCCTCGATGGTCCTGGCCGAGAGAGAATGCACACGTCCGAGCGATGCCGAGATCAGGGGGCAGCGCCGCCGCCGGCCGCCGCCGCGGGAGCGGAGCTCGGGAGCGACGCCGTCGCTGCCGAGGGGGGGGGGGGGGGGGGGGCGTTTTTCCTGGGGAAGGGCCAGCTCGTTTTGGGGGGGGGACCACCGAGCCGGTGTCGGCGATGTTGTGGGGAAAACCCTGAAAGCCTTGCGCGGCAACTCGAGACCCACTGTACGTAGGATCCACGTAGGATGTACGTCGTCTTCCTGTCGGACCTGCGTCGGGTGCACGCGTCGCAGTGCTCGGCGTCGGCGCCGTCGTTGCTGAGGGGGGAAGTTAGGGAAGGACGAGTGGGACGAGATGGAAGATGAGGACACGGGGAGCATGCAGATGAGAGGCCTATCTATCTGCACCCAGCCGCCTGGCACTCTCCCGGCGCGCGCCTTTCTGTTGACGTCTGCTTCTGGGGTGCGGCTTCGGGCTCCGGGACCATCAAGAACGGGTCCAGGGCGAAAAACCAACACCCAGGGACCTCTGGGGCCGCGGATTGACAAAAAAACATCATCGATTGTCTGGGCTCTTGGAATAAGTGACGGTTTCCAAGGCAAGGCGGCACGCAAGGGGGCGGGTGCTCAGTCAGGGGGCGGGGTGAACATCGAGCTGGAATCGGCGAGGCATCGCCGATGGATCGGCGATGGGCCCCAGAGTAGCGACTCCGCACACTCCTGGGCGGGATGGGCTACCGGGCGCCCTCTTTTCAGCAGGGACCGACCGTACCGGCATGCCTCAGGCCTGCCACGACTAGTTATTAGAACCCCAACATATTCTAAAAACAAAACCAATGCTCCTAGAACATGAGCCCGATATGTTGAAACGACACAGCCTCGGCCAGAAATGTTCTAAGAACACCTCGAGCAGACCACCAAAAGGTTCTTGGAATAATCTTTGGTGGGCCTAGAGGCAAGCCAGGACGCTCCGCCGCTGCTTGACCCTTGGCGATGACTGGGCGACGGGGGGTGCGCCGCATCCCCCCTGAGCTCCTCCCTCCCCCCCTGAAGCTCCACCCCCGCCGCCGCCGCCGCTTCGCCGTCGACCTCGCCGCCCTCGTCGCTCCGGCGCTGCCCGCGGCGCCGTGGGCCGCGGCAGCCGCCTGCACGGCGTCTCTGCGTCGGGACTCGGCGTCGTCGCCGCCGCCGCCGCCGCGCCGCCTCTCGTCGCCCGCGGCGCGGACCCCGCGGCCCGCGGCGCCGTGGGTGGTGGCCGCAAGGAGCGGGAGGCGGGCCGCCGTCGGAGGGGGGCCGCGCCCAGGGGGGGGTCCCAAGCCCCTGCAAACGGGGCGTTTGTAAACGGGGCGGTAGCTGAGGGGCCTCTTCAAGCGAGAACGGGGCGACAGGGCATCTACCTCGCACTGAGGCGTGATAAATCGGGACGGCAAAGACGCCGATACACCGGCATAACTCCGTGCGGGGGGATGTGCCTCGCACTTGTGCGCGGCAAATCAGTTTTTTGAGAACACCATTGGAGGCGCATCCTTAGCTACCTGCCCGTTTAGTAACGCCCCGCTTGCAGAGGCTTGGATGTCTGAGAGCAGAGGGTACAGAAAGTCGGACCTGGGGCAGAAGAGCATTCTTCACGAGCATGGGGCCCTCCGCCAAGCCAGACATGCAGAACACTCGAGGGTGCCCTCCCCCAGGAGGCACGAGACCATCGAACAAGCACGAAGAACACCAGGGCCCCGTCCCCGAGCCGACCTCGATCTGATAATCTGATACCTCGGTCCGACCGTATCGGATGGGGGGGACGAGCGGTCATTCACTGTCCCCGGGCGCATGACTGAAGTGGGGTTCCGCGGTGCGGATCGTTTTTGCGCTGGTGCATTGTTGCGTTGAGCTCTCACTTTCAAATAGATATGTTGTTGATCCCCCTCCTCTGGTGCCACTTGTGTTGTTCCAATCGAAGTGCTCCTTCCCGAGCTCGCACACTCCTATGTATAAGTGAACGTATTGAGGCTTACACAGGGCCCCAGGCCCCCGAACTACTACAACATCAGCTCCCCCGAACTACTACAACATCGCGCTCTCGGGGGGGACTTCCTCGCACTTGATTAAAGAATCGCGCTCTCGCGTGGGACCTCCTCGCAATGAATTGAACACGCTGCACCCTCGACGCTCAGGAATCACGCCCTCGCTCTGGACTTCCACATGGTTTGCTTGGGCCGGAGCCATCGGGCAAGATGAAACAGCATCGGATCGGGAAACCGCACTGCATCGGACAGCGCGCCACACAAGGCCACAATGCGAGCATCGGGCCGCATCGGATCGCCGGAATAACGGAAGCGAAACGCATCGGGCCGGGCCAGAATCGATGTTGATTCGGATCGACCGGATCGAAATCGACCCTCGTTTGAGCAGGGGCCGACCGTCCCAACATTCCAACAGGCCCACCACGACATGTTCTCAGAACCCAAACATGTTATCATAGCAAAAAACAATGTTCTCAGAAAATAAACCCGAGGTGTGCACACAAGACAGTCCCAGCCAGCCATGTTCCAAGAGCATCTCGTGCAGACCACACAAGGTTCTTAGGGCATTCTTTGGTGGGCCCGTCGGCGGACAAGGACGCCCTGCCACTGCTTGGCCCGTGGGCCTCTAAGACCCGCGGACCGCCGACGGCTCGATGTTGTCCGCAGCGTGAGCCCCCTGGACGTCTCGACCCCGCCCCAGGGGGGGCGGCGCCCGTCCTCGACCGTGTGTAGAGAGGCCCAGGGACACACAAACGAACAGACACAAATCCCTGGATCCCCCTAATGTTTCCAATCTTGTCTGGACTTCCGTCTTCCCCTCCAACACCCATCCTTTCCGTGTTTTCTTGGGAGTCGACGATAATTTGTGTTTGGCTATTTTCGTCCCTCCTGACTCGGGTCGGACGAAAGGGGGGCAGTAGTCAAAGAGGGGGTAGTGGATGAGCTCATGTGATTACGTAGCTGGTTTTCCCAGCGCCGCCCGGCGCCGAGTGCCAGTGCACGGAGGAAAGCGCCCGGCGGCGAAGCCGAAGTCCAGGTGCACGCGGCAGAGCTCGTGACTTACCCCCGGTTTCCCCACCCCCCTCGCGTCCGACCCCACTGTCGCCAGGAGAGCTGGCCGGGCCCCAGGTCGCGCCGCATCGCCCACGCATCGCCGATGCGACGCCGCCGAGAGCTGGCGACTGGGGCTCCGCCCCGCGTCTCATACAGGCAAGAACAGGAACGGCCCGCTCCAACGCAACGGAGAGCGCACCCGGTGCGCACCGCGGGGACCCCGCGCGGAGCAACCCATCCTGGGGCCGGGGACGGCTCGGCCAGGGACGCGCCAGAGTGTGGCGCTGAGCTCCGTGGGGTCGAAGCTCGGCATGGCCTGCTTGTACTGGAGCGGAGAGGCCCCCAGCCTGCCGATGGAGTGGTTGAAGAGCACCTCGCCGGCCGGGGCGGGCGCCTGGACTTCCCCGCGCCCGCTTCGCTGCTGCGGGAGCGCGCGGCGCGAGGGCAACTCGAGAACGACGGCGCTGCACAGCGGCACGGCACTCGTCCGGAGGCCTCCCAAGTGCGATCCGAGCTGATGGGGTCGGAGGCCCGTCGCCGCTTCTCGCAGGTGCGTCGCCGACACGTCGGCGATCGATCGGCGACGCGGGCGTGGAGAAGCATCGGGCCCCACATCGAGCCGCACCGCCGCTGCATCGGCGACGGCGGCGCGGAGAACATCGGGCCCACGTCGAGCCGCACTGCCGACGCATCGGCGACGGCGGCGCGGAGAAGTTCGGGTCGCACGTCGAGCCGCATGCGCCGGGCCTGGCGGAGAGTCGGCGGCGAGCGCAGGGGGGGAGCGAGAGCGGGCAGGCCCCCGCAAAAGGCTCGGAAGTCCCCCAACCTTCTGAGAGAGATGCTCTGGGCCGTCCTCAGGGTGACCCAAAACTTGTGGGTCACCCCAACGGGTGAACCCAAATCTTCTGGGTGTCCCAGAACATATGGGTGACCTCTGCTCAACCCCCTTTTGAAAAGGGGGTCGAGCTGAAAGGGTGTTGTGCAATAGATTTGGTGCAATGATATTGCAAATGTATTGCGCCAGAGAATTGTATTGCATTGTACTGCAAGTAATGCACGGCACGCGAAAATCCAGAAATACTGTTGCGCCCTGGATGTTTTGCACGCCCCAAGTGTATTGCAACCCCACAGATCTATTGCACCAAATCTATTTCACAACCCTCTTGTCGCTGGACCCCCTTTGGGTCAACCCGAAAGACGCAGAAAACCTCCAAGCAGGCTGGAGGCCTTCTGAGAAGCCCCGCCACCTCTCTCGCCACCGATGAGAGGCCTGGTGCACCACACGTCCCCCAGAGAGGGGCGCCGTGCTTCAAGTTGGCTGCGCGCGCGGCGCCACCTTCTGGAACAGACGAAGCCAAGGCAAGGATCCATTCGGGCGAGGAGAAATTGAGAATCTCTACGATCCGGCGACCTGGCGACTCTGGAGCTCGGGCGCCGCGGCCTTCTCAGAGCGTTCTGGAATGTTCTGAGAGCGTTCCGGAACGCTCTGGAACGGATTAATCCACGTCCTTGCCCCACCCGACAGAGCCAGTGCGGCCAGGAGACCAGGATGGCCAAGGGACGGCGGGGGAGCGGAGAGGAACGGGGCGACGACGATGAGGGACTCGAATTAGAAGAAGCGGCTCCCGCTGGGGCAAGAGCGCCACTCGGAACGAAGGAAGCAGAGCGCCGATCCGAAAAAATGTGCCTAAGCTGCAGCGGGAACAGAGTTTGGAACACCCATATCCTTCCGATTGAGAAAGAACATATGG